GTTGGAATCAGGAACTCATCTTCAGAGTTCAAATCTGGTCTTAGACATTTACTAGCTGTGTGACCCTGGGAAAGTCACTTAACCTTGTTCATTTCCTCATCTATAAAATGAGCTGGAGAAGGAAATGGCAAACATATCAGGTATCTTTGCCAAGAATACCCCAGATGTGGTCATGAAGAGTATGGCATGACTGGTATATGTCTTGAAATTAGAAGTTTTGCTGTAAATTATATGAGACTTATATCCATTTTTATAATAGATTATACCCAATTTGAATTTTAAGAACTCTCTTGCTTCCTCAATACAAAAGAGGAACTTAATTAAGGGAGTGGGAAGAGCAAGCCCAAGCCTTCCTGAGAACTCTCAGATAGATGAACTGTAATAGCCTGGGAAAAATCATGCCACTCAGGTTCATATCTGAGTGATGAGACTTGGTAGAGACTGGAAAAATTATGAAAAAAATTGGTAATTACTATGCAGGAAAAGGTACAAAGAAAAGACCTTGTAGACTCCCCTTATTTGTAAATTTGCCAGGTTTCTTGAAACCATCTGTTTGGGCAAGGTCATCAGCCATGTGAAAGAGTTTGTTTGGATTAGAAAGATTCCTAAACAATGAATTGAGTTAATGAGAGTTTACTAGTTTATATATAATATAAAAGTGATTTCTAATAATTGATCTTCATACTAGGATGAGTTTAAACTTGAGGAGGAGAAGACAAAAAAGTGAAGGATGTTAAAGTGAAATCTTTTGTGTGAGTCCTAGTAAACTTTTATTACTTATTGCAACACCATGAGAGTTTTAATAATTGTATCCAGCCCTAAGTTCTGATTAGTGAAACTTGTTATATTTGAGGCAAAATCTCTTGGGACTGTAATTAATTTTTTTTGAGGTTTGAATTCAGGTATAGTAGTCTGATGGATCATTAAGTTAGTAATCCACCATTTGATAGAAATGCCATAAGATACTTAGAGGGAGTGTGATCCTGAACTGTGACAGGTGGATGTTCGTATTCTGGGAAAAGATTGAGGGGATAACTTTGGCATGGCCAAAGGTAGGATCCTCTTGACTCAGTTTCCCTATTGTGTTCCTTTTGAACAAGAATGTCTCCTACCTGGTTCATCCTGAGTCTGGATATGAGGTAGAATGCATGATTGGCTGTCAACAGTGACTCTTACCTGAAATCAAAGAGAGCTAAGGCAGCTTTATCCTGGTATACATGTGTTGAGTTAATCTGTGCCCTTAGGTTTAGGCCTGGGGGACCAGTTTTAATGCTGTTAAAATCATGTCCCTGAATTTTCCTCTTACAGCAAATTCTTATAGTCAGAGCAAATAGTCAGTAAAAGATAAGAGCACAGTGCCCGTATATCAGATCTTACTGTTTTCAATATAAATATGTAGTCATTACATTTCCCAAACAAGTAAATTAGTGCTTGGGCTTGTCATCTGCCCACTAATACTTACACAGTTACATATATGATTAAGGTGCTGGAGTATTTCATTTAGAATACAATGGGAATAATTGGATAAAGATAAAAAAGCTTGTGAAACAAAGATGTGAGTCTATTAATTTGTTTGTTTGTTTGTTGTTTTTTGGATAGGCAATGGGGTTAAGCAACTTGCCGAGGGTCACACAGCTAGTAAGTGTTATGTGTCTCAGGCCACATTTGAACTCAGGTCCTCCTGAATCCAGGGCCGGCACTCTATCCACTGGGCCACCTAGCTGCCCCTGAATCTATTAATTTGTGAAGTTAAAGTCAGAAACCTCTTCTGTTTCATTTTAAAGAATAGAATTTCATTGCAATCAGTAATCTTAGTAGAGAGTAATTTTTGCATAATATCTATTCCATTTGAATATGGATAACAACTGAACATGTTTTACTACAAACAGCTCCTTTGACTCTGTTCTCTGTATTCAATTGGGAATTGAGTGTATTTGTATATCCCAATCCCGGGTCTTTTGTTAAAATTGGATCAAGTCTTTTGTTAAAAGTTAGCCTCTTGTAAGTAAATTCATTTGTGTAACCATTGAACCTAGGAGTAGAAAGCATCTGCCTGCAAAAAGTGTTGTTACACATATTTTCATGTATAGGAGTGAATCCTTAATAGCATCTGATCCTTCTAAAAAAATCAGAATTAAGTGGAGTGGAAAATTTTAAGAGAACAAATAGATAAAGACAATCCTGCATTTCAAATGTAAATGATTCTAATGGGGTATGTAAAAACTTAAATTCTCTGTAGTTTCAAGTGAACTATGGGTCCTTAATTTGATGTTCTTCTTATGGCTCTATTATAAATAAAATCAGAACCACAAGTTTTAAGCTGTTTTTCAGCAATGAACTGGTTACTGGAGAAGTAACATTTGAGAGGCGGTACTAACTTGTATTGAGATCTGTTTTGTAAAAGATTTTAGCAGGGACATCTAAGGAATCTCTATAAGTAACTTGGAACCAAAGAAGCAAATCTACTAAAGAAGAATCTCCTGTGGAGCTGCCCTAAGAACAAGACCTATCCCAGAATGTCCAAGAAAAGATGTTTCCAGAGATCAGACATGGAACATCTGGGATCCAAGATGGAACTTGCTGGTTAAATGGACATTGGGAGTGGGTTAATAGATGCAAGGAGACTGGATGTTAGTTAATGTTGATGGTCATTGTTGTATTACTCTGGCTATTTGTTTCACTGTATCTATACACTGAGTTCTCTCAGTTATCTTTGTGTCATATAAATTTCCCCTCTAAAATTAGTCATGGCTTTAGTTATTCTTGCTATGGCTTATACAGTGATTAATCATTCTTCTTGTTCTTACATTGACTAGTCAGGGAAAATTGTGACAAGCTCCCATTGATAAAAGGGGGAAATTGAGAAAATCAAATGATCCTGATTCCATTTTGTGATTGACTCTATTCTGTATCCGCCCTAATGTGTTGTAAAATTGCCCAAGCAATGTTTCTTTGTCTCTGAACTTAGTTCAGAAATTCAGCTAGTCTGTGATGAATTAAGTTCAGAAATCCAGTTCTTCCACCAGTCACCAAATGCCGCTGATTCTTTTGCTGCCTCCCTTGGGATAGGGTAGAAGAAAATCGTAACAATTGTGGTAATTTTCTTGTTGGTTATGTTATTACCCTACTTGTGCTCATATTACTGTTGTGGATTGGGCCTCCAGTGTAGGTCATTGGTAGGCTCCTCTGCTTCCTCCATGTTAATGAAACCGCTTGTGCAACACTCAGGGAACCTTGCAGAAGATACTATCCGAAAGAATGTATGAGCGGGTCACAAGAGATGGGATGTATAGTGGGAACCAGAGCCTCGGAACATGACCTTAAGTCTCATAGTTAATTGAAACTACCTTTAATGTAAACAGCAAGAAACACTCTAACTATCCCATGGGAAAACTTGCACATGACCTTGGGCTATCCCTGGTACTGTGCCTCTTTCTTTCTGTTTCTGTATAATATCCGATCTGGCCTAAGGATGGTGGGGGGATCAACTGTTCTGTCAGTCCTTCTGCCACCAAGGGTTGGTCTCATGAATCAACTCCCTAAAATTCCCCAATTTCCCCAATGAAGTCTAATAAATCTACACATGTATCCCATGCTGTGGTGGACTACCCTTCTTTCTTAGGTATCTTAGTATTCTCTCTGAGGGTCTGCACTCTACAATTGGCATAATCAGGGCAGACACTCAATAAAAGCTTGAATTATTTACTTCAAATATTCAAATGCTTGAATATTTAATAAATAAATAAATAAATAAATAAATAACGGGCAGACTGACTGACAGTTAGACAAAGACACAGAGCAGAAGAAGTATCCAGAGGCACAGGCTCACACCCCACTAGTTGAGGCATTCCTCAGCCCTCCCTGCCTCACCCCCTAAATGCACTAGCTGCCACTTGGGAGTTATCACCATGGGGAAGTTATTCCATTTTTCCAGGGATCTACTCAAATGTCTTGATGCAATCTGCAGCTGGGAAAGAAGAGGGGGTGAGGGCGCCTCACTCCCTTTTAAAGATCCATTGAGTTAGCAGCTCTCCCGCTCACTGGCCAATGAAGGAATAGTTTTATCATTCCAGAACTACTGAGTCTTCAACACCAAGATAGCACACATATTTGGCCCCAAGAAAGCCAGGCAGTTCTATATAATCTCATTACATTGATATGCGGACATGTTGTTTCTCATGTTAGGATATAATCTCTTTTGGGTGGGAACTGTTTCATTTTTTTTCCTATATATTTTTCTCTAGTATCCAGGCATAGTGCCTGGCAATAATAGGCGCTTAATAAATATACTTATTGCTAGATTAGCCTCATAGAGTTTCTGAAAATTTTAGATGATCTGTATTTTATGGACCAAGGTTCTTGTCTTTTGCATTAAATACTTATTAAATATTTATATTAATGACACAATTTGAAACCCAAGTCACAGGCAAAAACAGTTCTAAAGAGTTACAAAACACAGACAGGTTTCTTTTGTGTGATCTTTTGTTTTGATGTTCCTTTAGTATTGCCTATAATAATACAACTTTATATTATAAAATCTTATTCAGTAAGAATAGTCTCCCTTTAGCTTAACCTTTGTTCAGGATTAGCACAGTGTCATGCAGATACTAAGCGTTAAATAATAATTTTTGTTGACTTAATGATCAGAAGAGTTGTCCTACCTTTTAAAACACCTAAATTAGTACTATCAAATAACATTACTTTTGGGAGAATATAACTGGAATACTTTAATTTTTTAATGAAGAGGACAATAAATTGTATTTATTTCTATTGATTAGCTTCTGTTGATTTGGTGGATGATTTGTTTCTGAAAAGCGAAAATTTTGAAGGTTTGTAAGTAGGGATTTGAAGATGAAAAATTTATTGTTGGAAGGTAATGAAGCTTACAATAGTCAGAAGTGATGGGAGGCTAGATTATTGCATAGATTTTTTTTTCTTGCTTTAGAATAGTATATGGCAATATGTTTCCCTTTTTTATATACAATTAATTTTATCTTTAGGAGGAAGCTGTTCTTAATGATAACACGCAAGTGAAAGTGACTCCAGGGGATGAGGCACTTCGAAACACCAAAGAGCACCGGGAAGAACAAAATCGACTCAAAGAGATCGATCAGCAACTGATAGAGTTGGAAAAAGATTGTGTAAGTCTTTCTATTTTAAACTTTCAAATTTTAATTTTGATTAATTAACGTGAAGAAAAGCAAAATGAAGGCTTTAGCATTCTGTTTATGCTTTGTGATATATCAAATCATCCATGAAAATCAACATGGAATTTAGAAATAAGAATTTGAATAAAACTGAAGATTTAATCCAGTTATAGGGATCACAAATCCCTCTTTCCTTGGCACACAAATGATTCTGGGAGCTGCTGGCAACATACCTCCTTCTTTTACTGTGAGGGACTGTCTGATGTTGGCAGCTGCCAGTTGGGTGCTGTGGCATGGGTAAGGTAAGATCTGGGTATTTTGGAAGTCGAGGCAGGGACTGTGGTAGGCAGAGTCGTGTGGACTGGGATGGGCTGGATTCGGAGAAGCCATGAGGCAATTGGGCAATGCTATGAGATAAGCTGAGTGCAAGGAAGTAGCTGAGCCTGAGCTCCTGAGGCAAGGAGCGGTGCCACGTGGGAGTGGGATGGCAGAGGACTGAGTTCCCTCTGCTTAGTCCCCTCCCTATATGCAACATCATCCCCAGATGCCTCTTGTGACCTTCCTGACCTTGTGCAGCACTGACCCAGTCCCCTCCTGAGTCTGACTTCCTAGGTCACGTACTCTTGTCTATGCGTCAATCCCAGATGCCTCCTTCCTGTATCCAATGCTGGCCTCCTACGTCACTCCCTCCCCCTTGGTGTGCTAAACTCAGACAGCCCCTTCCGGTATCTGACCCTACAATCATTGGCTAGTAGTGGGCTGGGGAGGAGGGGCTAAGTAGGTACTTAGGAACAAGCGTGGTCAGAACACATGTGCGCGCTCCCCTGGCTCCTGCCTGTTGCTCTGGCCTTGCTGCTTGGGCTTGCTATGATGGTTTGCTGTGTTGGCCTCTGAATAAAACTCTGGTGTTGGTGCCTTCCGATGGCTTGTCTCTGTGTGGTGATCCGGCTGAGGACCGAAGACCCGGGAATGGGTAAGACTCTGGCAGTGCACTTCTCTTAGGAGAAGTGGGTACTGGCGCATGACTGGCAGAGGGTCAGCGTGCGGCCCGTATATTTTACTAATTGCATTAGGAAGCTGTCTCAAGTAATATAAAAACTGGCCTACTTGTTCCAGCGGAAAGTAGGGGATGGAGGGACAATTTGGAAGAGATAGATTGTTCCCTCAGAGTCCAATCTCTTGATCCAATGGGAAGTGCTGTTGGGGCAGGAAACACTCTGGGGGAGAGAGTATGCAAGTTGTAGTGAGCTATCATCTATCGAGTTGGGGAGAAATGTGCTTATGAGGTGTAAGGGGATAAAGTGCATGAGGCCTGTGAGAGACTGTATGTCAGTCCCAGAGCAATGCAGACTAATGTACGATAGAGAACTTTAGAATAATGGAGCTTTTTTTGAACTTTTGGCACAACCAGAGTGCTTTTCTCAAATGGACTAGTTATTTGAGTACTTTTCACTTGGGAATGGGAATGGGAAGAAGAGCAGAACTTCAGAGACAGCAAAGGTAGCCTTTGATAAGCCAATTACCCCCTGCTTGGAGCTCGAGTGGGCTGTAGGATTTGTGATGAAATGCCCACACCTGCTGGGAGCTGGGGAGAGCTGCAGGTACAGAAGATTGTGGCAGATGGCTGGGGGCAGTTATAGGGAACAATGATTTATGAAATCCGCCAAGATTAGTGGGACACCAAAACTCCTAGAAACATACTATGGTGTGCAGTCAGAGGGATGGTGGAGGGGAGAACTGATATGGAGGGACACATCCCCATTTCACCCAGCTGGAGTCCTATCTGATGAAGAACAGGAGGTCCCTGAGACTATTCAAAGTTCTTCTGAGGGGAGGAGTTGATCGCTGCTGGGTATCTTTACTTTCAATGGGTTAGAACGCATATTCTGTATAATTCCATTTACCTGAAAGTAAAATTGTTCATGTTTTAAGTTTCATGATGCTGTGTGGTTACAAGGGGATGATCTGGTCACTGATCCTTGGAGAGATGTCAGATACTGAAGTTCCTGGAGCATCTGAATAGGAACTTAGAGGCAGAGGGATGAGAAAACTCCAGCGTGCACCTGACCCCATTGTGTCTCTCACACAAAGGTTGCAATCCATAGCTGGGAATAGAACTGCACTAAAACATATGGAAAATGTGAAAAATATCATTCACTAGTATATTGGTGAGAAAAAAGGTGCTGGTCTCAGAGATGGAAGAGAGCACAGGTACTGTGTGAACTGGAAACTACCCAAAGAGGCATTGTTGTGTAGTGTCTACTGGAGCAATTGGGATGAATCTAGTTGATTATATCACCATGTCTTCCTGGTGCTGCTGTAGCCGGGTTATTTAAAGGAAGCTGACAGAGAGATGTATTTGTCACATTTCAGTGCCTGCATATGGAAAATCTTTACTAGAGAAGTAGCTTCCCCACCAAGGACAGGAAAATAAATTTATTTGGTAGAAGCATATATACAGCTAATTTTAGGTTGTTGTCATTGTTGTTCATCCTTTAGAAAAGGAGTGAAAGAAGATGATGGCCGCAGAGATCAGCTAATGTCCCCTAAAAATGATCTGCATTCATTCATTCAAAAAATATTTGGTGTGCATGTTTTAGTTTTCCAAGTTTTTCAAGTATCTTTGCCAGCAAAGCCCAAATGGGAGCATGAGGGGTCAGACGCGACTGAAAAAAAGGGGCTGATTTGAAAAAAGGTTGATTTGAACTGTAGAGTACCTACCTTGCTCCCTTTTGTTATCTGTGCTCTGTTTAGGCTCTGGAGCAAGTATGAAGATATAACTATGGACCCATGGGGAACACTCACATATCATACGAATTGCAACCAGGCACATACATCGCAAAAAACATAATAAAGCTGTTTACAGTCCCAGTTGGGGGATCCTGCTTCCTTTATTAGGCTAAGATTTTGCCTTCTGGTTCTTCTGTTTGCCTAGGGTTCTGGTTCATTTGCCCCATCACTGTCAATCAGTCAATAAATATTTATTATGTACCTACTATGTGCCGGGTACTGTGCTAAGTGCTCAGAATTCCCCTACTTCTTTTTAAATCCAAGCACTAAAATTCATTTAGATAGCGTATCGTAGTAAAAAGCAAAACAGTTTAGTTAGAAGAAGCATAGTAATTTCGGCTATAGGAGCCCCACTAGGAAAATCTCCAACAAACCTTGCTTCCCACATCCTAGGATGAAGCATGTGCCTCCTTGCTCTTCTGTGAGCCATAAGGGGAAACGTTAGGAATTTTACTTGTAAACCAGCTGTCTTGAACTCCAGCCACAGAGGGGTGGGGTGGTGATCACAATCATTCAGCACTTGCAGAGGATGATTATGTCTGGTCTTGAGTCAGGACCAGGATAGGTCCTGGGCTTTTCCACTTGGTTGCAGGAATGTCAGCCACTGCGTATGCTGGGTCACTGTTCTGTGCTCCCTCTGATTGTTGCCCTTGATAGGACAGGAGTGATTGCTCACTTAGGTGTATTTGCCATCTTGGGAGCGTGAGAAGTCCTGCTTACTCTGCCCTGAGATTGAGAAAGGTAGTTGCTCATGTAGACATTGTCTGTCCCTCTCCGTCCTTCTCCTTCTCTCAACCTTGTATCCTGGTGTTCATAGAATCATAGATTCCGAGAAAGAAGAAACCTTAAAGGCATCCCAGCATTTTCTTCCGTCATATCTGCCATAAGAAGAGAAAATTAGGTGCCTCAAATCACTTGGCTTGTACCATTTCATCCCTGCCACTACTTTTAAAAAGTTCCACAAGAGTCCGTGACCTAGCATGGCCCTGACAGCTAACCTTTTGATAACCCCACAAGGCCTATTTAGCTCTGTACTTCCTTTTCTCTTTGTTACCTAAAAATATAGACATTGTTGGGGAAAAAAAAACCTGCTGCCTAATGGGAAGGTGCTATTGTAAGTATTGCAATTTAATTTAGAGGGGAGAACTTGACGGGAATTGAGAAGTTGAAGAAGGGAGAGAAGGATTTGAACTGAAGGATAAGTAGTACTCAATCCGAAGGAAATGAAGGATTCAAGGGGGAGGATTTGAACCTGAGGAGAAAAATAGAATAAAGATTTTTAAGGACAGCAAAAGGAAAAGAAGAGGAACAAATCAGTATAACTGATCATTACGTCAAAAAAAGTAAAAAAAATGAGTTCAATGTACAATATGAGTGTCTTCTCATGTCTTTTCTTTCAAGCCATGCTTGTTATTTATAATTTTATATTTGCTTTTAATATTTTGTTGTGGGGGCAGCTAGGTGGTGTAATAGGGCAGCTAGGTGGCATAGTGGATAGAGCACCGGCCCTGAAGTCAGGAGGACCTGAGTTCAAATTTGACCTCAGACCGAACACTTGACGCTTACTAGCTGTGTGACCGTAGGCAAGTCACTTAACACCAATTGCCTGAAAAATTTTTTTTTTGTTGTAGTTCTTTCCATTAATTTGTTGTAGTCTTTGTGTATATTATTTTCTTGGCTCTACTGACTTCATTTTGTATCAGTTCATGTATTTCTTTCCATGCTTCTCTGTATTCATCATAATAGTCATCATTTCTTACAGCACAATCATATTCCATTATATTCACGTACTCCAATTTGTTTAGCATTCCCCAACTGATGGGCATCTACTTTGTTTCCAAATCTTTGCTACCACAAAAAAATGCTAGTATAAATATTTTGGTGTATATGGAGCCTTTCTTATTCTCAATAGCCTCCTTGGGAGTATAAGCCTGTTAATAGAATCTTTGGGGTAAAGGTTATGGGCATTTTAGTCACTTTACTTGCATAATTCCAAATTGCTTTCCAGAATGGGTGTACTGTTTCACAGCTTTGCCAACAGTGCCTATATTCTTGCAACTTTTCCAACAGTGACTCTTTTGATCTTTTGTCATCTTTGCCAATTTGCAAGTTATATGGTGAAACTTTAGAGTTGTTTTGATTTGCATTTTTCTTATTAATGACTTAGAACAAATCTTTATCAGATAAATTTGATACAAAAAATT